AACTCTTCAACACCAAACATTTACCGACGCGAATGGCGCGCAGCAACCAATAAAGGATAGCTCGCTCCGACACCATCTGTACGACTGCCCCTACAGGTCCAAGATCGTTACAGCTCCGCCTCCCCCGCAAAAAAGATTTTTAACGGACCTCTAATTCCCTGCAGGCCAGACAAACCTTCCCATAACAAGCAACCTGGTTCTAGCATCGAGCAGGAAGATTCCCAACTGCTCCTGGGCATTGCAACTTGTCATGCCAGCTCTATTCAGCCCACACCATCAGTAAAGCTCTGTGCCGTACGCTCCGCGACCGTCTGCTGTGTCTCCCCCACACCACTCGGCACAAAAAACAGCTTTGGGGCTCTGGGTCCTCTTTCCGGCTATCTCCCCTACATCAGGCCAGATGCGAACCCTGCCATCTGTCTGCCACAACGTCTACGCTCTTCCTCGTAACCGCTCGCCAGCAAAGCAAGTAAGCAATAAGAAATTCAGGTGGCGGCACAGCTGAGAACAAACGGCGGATCAGGAGCGAGCCCAAAGAGTACGCACACAGCACTCACAATTAACGGCTTAAACTTCAGCTCACTCAATGTAAGAAGAGGAAACGTTGGGATTAAAACGGGAAGTATTAGCCCGTTGAGACAGAATGGTCGCATTATAAGTTACAGGACACTGGAGAGTACAGAGTATAGTCATGGTATACTTTTTTGGGGTGATAAATACAGGCTATTGATGACGTGGGTTGGGAGCCGGCATCGCGGTCACACAGGGAAGAACAATCTGCGTTTGTCTGAGCATATGCTGCACCGGGCAAAATGATATGGAGACATCTGCCGGGCGAGGAGAGGTGTTAAGTTGTCATGAGAAATGTGCAATCAAGGAGCGAGGCCGACAACCGAGAGAGTGGTGCGGCGGCGACATTTATGGTTCATTTTTGTTAGATTCATTTGAAAAACATGCAGAACACAATTGTATATATCTTTACACTAATACAGGCTGGAAATGTTGGTGGTTATGCTCCGGAAGACTACTTCTAAGGAGATAGAAGTGGTCAAAGTGTCTGAATAACTTCTGATTTTGTAAGTAAGTCATATTAATGGTAATACTTTATAAGACCCATTTTCGCAGTTGCATGCTAACAGTATAACAACTATGTAATTAATAAATGGGAAAGTGTCAGTTAGCAGTGAGTTAGATGTTGAATAAGGCCATGTAGAATAAGGACTAATAAGTGCTTAGTAAATACCAATGAAGAGCTAATTAACCATACATTAATACACTAATAAGCACTTAATTAGCTGTCTTGTCATTGTTTTCCCGCCCTACACAATTTGCCAATCAGAAAGTCTGTGATCTGGGTTGCCAGAACACTCTGCGTCAAGCTAATCTCACTAAAGTACCATGTGGCAGCTGTGCTAAAAAGGTCTCGTTATGATTCTCAAACAATTAACGACAAAACAAGGAATAAAACCAGGATTTCTATCTTTGTGAAAAAGGTGTTGGTTATAGATTTGTTCTTGTCTATTCAGCTGTTATGGTCCCAGCTGGATTCGTCTGCATATCTGGCAACCTGAGTCAGGAAGAGTGGGAGAGGCTGCAGTACCACTTTTGGCCACATGTTTACATACAGCTCCTTTAATCCTAGCGTACATCGACAGAGTAACTGGGGACATCTAGTTGAAGGCGGCTTTTGGCGACTGAGAGTAGATGATGGAGATGATCAGTTGAAATCGGTCGATGTGAGCGCTCTTACAACTGGAGATAAACAGTCGGTCTCCAGTTTCATCCAGTTGCCCGTGTTCTACTCTTCGGCAACTAGTTGTCCTCAGTTTCGGAGATATGACCGATGTGTGCGCTCCATGCGCCGCTCCAACAACATGTGTGTATTGCGTGTATTGCGCCCTCTACAGTTTATGTCAGAAAACACACTGTAGTTGAGGCCAGTTGCTGTTATTCCCCAGACTGACCTGATACAGGAGTTTGCCGTTTTCGTCACATTGTCGATGTGTGCGGGGCAGCTACTCATATGCGACGGATATAATCAGTTGCCGGTCCGATATACGCTATAGGCTTTAAGGCTTACTGTCTGTCACAATATTTTCTGTTATATGTTTTAATGCGTGTACAGCTTTTCTCTCCCTGAGTGGAGGTGGTATAGTACTCTGTAAACGGATTGTAATGGCGTGCAAAATGAACCTTTCCAAGAGTCAAACCTGTTGTCTCCCAAATATTTCACACCCGCTCTGAACTTTAGCTAAAATGTCAGCTTCATTAAACGCAAACTGGGTCAAACGCATCGAGAAGAAATTAAAATCAAGGCGAGCAGATGAGGTGATTGTAATTAACGTCTCTTCAATCAGGCAGCAGTGTGGGAACGATTGGGTCGTATATTTTACATTTATCGCTAAACTCTGAGCGCCTTGTTACCGTGACGTCTGCCAGACTAAATCATCAGTAATGAACCAGAGCAACTTTCTGCTAAACTTTCTGCTAAACTTTCTCTTTCCGATGCTACACAGTCCTCAGAGAGACTTGATAATACTAACTTCTCTGTATCATTTCAAGCTTGGTAAAGATATTCTGTAAAACTGTCTGAATGTGTTGCAGCAGTGTTGCCAACTTAGCGACTTTGTCGCTAGATTTAGCAACTTTTCAGACCCTATAGCAACTTTTTTTTCAAAAAAACGACTAGCGACAGATCTAGACAAAGCATTAAAATCATTAAATGTTGTTAATGTTGAAATTATTTTTGTACATTTGTAGTTCTAAACATATTTAGGGTGTTTTTTACTCACTTTTGTCTCTCCCACAACGTTATTCCTCTCTCCTACAGCGTCCGTTACAGTTATTTGCAAATTGCCAAATATGCAAATTAGGCGATTACGTCATTTAGCGACTTCTAGCGACTTTTGGGACAGCCAATAGCTACTTTCCTTACTGAGGAGTTGGCAACACTGGTTGCAGCACTTAAAGTAGTACTAGAATTTAATATGCTGCTATCCAGAATATATAACTACAATATGTGTTTATAATATTTCGGGTGTTCATTTTGACATGTTCAGATGAATTATGTTAAAAAAACTGCTTTGAAGTGGCACCTTTTCACTTCCGCAACTTGCCCAACACTAATTAGCTTGAATCTCACAAATAAGGCTAAAAGGTTAAAAGAGTTGCACACTATTATGTACAAACTGATGTAAATATGTTTATACCTTGTTCAGATGACAGTGAAACCTCCTACAGATTCAGCCCAGACTGCTGCTGCTGCTGTGAGAGGTCCTTCTCCTACGTCATCGCCGACATTTTGGCGCCCCCTAGCGTTTCTATGCGGAAGTGAAAAGGTGCCACTTCAAAGCAGTTTTTTTAACATAATTCATCTGAACATGTCAAAATGAACACCCGAAATATTATAAACACATATTGTAGTTATATATTCTGGATAGCAGCATATTACATTCTAGTACTTGGCAGCACGGTGGCTGAGTGGATAGCACTCTCGCCTCTCAGCAAGAAGGTCCTGGGTTCGAATCCCGGCCGGACCAGGGCCTTTCTGAGTGGAGTTTGCATGTTCTCCCCGTGTCTGCGTAGGTTTCCTCCGGGTACTCCGGTTTCCCCTACCACTAAAAACATGCACAATAGTTCTGGCATGTGCCTCCTGTACTGGCCCCGCTCCCATCTCTGTGTGGAGTGAGAGACAAATGCCCAAAAAATAACAATTGTAAACCGCTTTGAGACTCAGGTCTGTGAAAGGCGGTATATAAATAAAGCTTACTTACTTACTTACTTACTACTTTAAAGACGGACAAGAAATGTTATTTTACAGGTCGCGTTCAAAAAATCTATCTAAGTTTGAGTAATCATAATTTGAGTATTTTCTGACTGTGTTAAAAACAAGATTTTCCAACGGAACAAAGCCATTTAGTCTTTATTCAAGAAATGTTGCCTAATTTTCCCATTCCACAGAGACATAACTGATATCTTTTTAAAACAAGATACTTTTGCTTGTTCCATCGTCAAATCTTGTTTTGAGGCAGTTGAAAGGCGCTGAAATTAACTTCCATTTTGCCAAATTTGAGCAATTTTTGATTTATTTTTCTTTACTTTTTGCAGTGGAGAAAAAGATCAGCGTATGATAGGGATTCAAACCTACGATATGATTCTTACTGTGTTTCTGAATGTCCTCATGCATGTGTTTACCCTGGTCTTATCCATCTGTACTCTCCACTCAATCATCATTTCACTGCATGTAACGTCTGGGTCTGGTCCCCATGTAATCAATTACAATCGGTTGGATTTCGACCGACCAATCAGAGAGCACGGGAGGCGGGTGTTGTAGTTAGATGTGGGTGATGTCAAGAGTTTGCGTCAAACGGGCAGGTTGTAGTTTGGCGAAGAATGCGATAGTAAAGTAATCCAGTAGCGGCGCCAGGTTTGCAGTTATGGGTAGGCCTGCAGATTAGTAAGTAGGCCTAATTGGCTCGCAAACTACAAGGGGTGTTTGTAGTGGGGATACAAAGAATATGGTGCAAACGCGGCGCCACAGATTTAGCGTCGCTGGCCCTGGTCCTGAAGGAGAATTAAATAGACTATATAATACACATAGCGTAGTTTATTTGAAAATTACAAAATCAAATGCATGTACAAGGAACAGTACATAATCTTAAATCTAATTTACAAGAGCAGGCGGCGTGACTTTTGATTGAAGACAGCGAGTATTTCCTTGTAATCTATGTTCTCCGTTAATTCTCTTTCAAAAGACAAAAGGGACAGAGTTAAGTCTTTCTGTCAGCATCGTCGCCCTGGTGCTTGTCTTTATTCGGTTGACGGTGGAAAAGAGTCTCTCCACCGTACATGTGGTCATCGGCAGACTATTCATGACAGGGAATATGTCACGTGGACACGAATCAAGAACTTCAATGAGTGTGGGAAACTTATCTCCAGTTTCATTCATTTTTCTTTGAATGTGCTGCACAAAGACAGTGTGCTCTGCTCCGTTCAAGTGGATGGAGAAATGCGTGCACACGGGATGGATCGTCTCTATGTCTCCAAATGTGTCCGTGCGTGGCAAGCAGGCAGCGGTGGCCTTCATGAAGCCGTATGTGTCAGGCTTGAAGCAGATATTCAACTCCGTTATTTGTCTATCCAATGTGTCGTTCCAAAGTCTTCGAAGATCTGAATTTGTCTGCACAGTGAAGGACTTGCCCAAAGTAGATGCAACCAGAGAATCCTCTAACCCTGGCAGGTAACTTTCTTTTGCGTGACGCGCCATTGTCCCAATTGATGATGTCGTGTTTAATCATCAGGTCATCTGCCAGAGCCATTGTTTTATTGTATGTCGCATTTTCGTGTCTGAACTTCGTGTAATTGTCTTTGAGTCCTTCGATTAAATCAGTGCAATCTGTGACTGACAGTGTAGGGGACTGCAAGCCTTTTGTGGCGTAGTCACTGACTTCAAACAGCAGATTAAACGTAACAAGGAGGAACAGGAATTTTTTATTCTGTATCTGGTTCAATAAGGCGTCCGCATCCATTTTTGTTTGGCCCATTGCACTTTCAGAAAAAGAGGCGAGGGTCTCCAAAATCGGTCCCAACAGTGTCAGCACTTTACTCACAGTATTTGACCAGGAGGTCCAGCGAACATCACAGGCTCTCTCCAGCTCCAAAGGTTTTTGCCCTGGCCGCATTTGATCTTGTATTTCCATAAATGTTGCGTGTCTGTGTGCTCCAGTCATAAAGTGATGCAGGTCATTTAAAACAACAAAAAAGGTTTCAATGCACGGAGAGACTTTTGCTGCTGTGCACAAGACAAGGTTAAGTCTGTGGGAGTTGCACATACACAGCGCGAGGGAAGGTTCTCTTCAATATCACATGCACACGGCCCTTGTTCCCCGACATGACGGATGCACCATCAAACCCAAACCCTACGCACAGCTCTGGGTCAAGTTGCAGCGGCTCCAAAACCTCTAATATTTTTGTTGATATGGCCTCTGCTGTCAAGTTCTCAGTCTGCACAAATCCTACTGCTCTTTCTCTTTCTCTTCTTTCTTTTTTTGATATGTCCTTACACTCATCTGCTAAAATGGCATAATATGCGCTGGGCTCGTCATGCAAATCTTTCTTTACTTTACTTATAATGAGGGAGGTTGTGATCTCAAGTATTTCATTTTGTATACTGTGATGTAAAAGCTTTCCATTCTTTGGCAATTGGTCAAGTCGTTCTTTAATTTGTGGATCATATTTTGAAACCAATTCCAGCAACTCTAGGAAATTTCCTTTATTCAATGCATCTGCATTTTCCCTGTGACCTCGCAGTGGAATCTCTTGTTTGGCACAGAACAGGACTAGGTCGATAACCAGTATGATGTGCTCCCTGTTTCTGTCAATTAATGCTTTGTTTTGGGCATCTCTGTTCAACTGATTGATAATATCAGTTATCAATCAAAGTCTGGTTATCAATTCCAAAGTCTGGTTCTATCAAGAAATTGAAGCCGGAGCAAGAGGAATGTTCAGCAAATGTAATCGCTGGAAAAAATTGTGACGCTACTCCCCACAGGCTCCGTTAGCGGCAAAGGAGATGGCTAAAGCTAGGCTAAATGCTAACCCTCCCTCGGGCTCATTACATACGTCACGGTAAACTCAGATCCAATGGTTTCAATCTGCAAAAGGAGTTAACCCCTCCCACCTGTTAACGGAGTCAATGGAGCAAATCCAGACCTTAGTATGAAATGTCATTTGTACTATGGTGTGGTACGACCAGGCTAGCATGTGTTGTGCGTATAATACACACCTTTATGACAAAAGAATGAGACCATAGTTGATGTGTATTAAACGTGACATTTTTTGTTTCATGTGGATTGACCCAGAATTACAGAGATGTAATTTATAACAAACTATAATATACTTTTATATTTGTTAACTGGAAAGAGTTCGCTGCCCTCCACCACTGTTTTAAACTACAGGCTCTTTGGATTGTTGTGATGTCACATTAAGTATTGGCTTTGTCAGTGATAGCAGTAGAATCATGAATCCAGCACATGGTGAAATAACAATGTGTCACTTTGCCCAATATTCCACATGGTCTTTAAAGGGGACGTATGATGCACATTTTTCTATAGACTGATCATGAGCGACGTCACAAGCACGGGATCATGAACTCTCTGGATGCCTGGAGGACAGAAGCCCCGAGCTCCAGTCCAAGTGTTGTTTGTAGAGAACTTTTATCATTACATCTGTGAGTACATGTGTGTAGCTTGATGGGCTGTAAAACTGATAAAACTATAAAAAATGCTTACATTGTGAGGTCAGTAAGAGCTGTTTTCTGCACATAAAGTTTGATGTTGGGGGCGACAGTGGCTCAGTGTGTAGAGCATTGGCCTTTGAGCCTGAAGGTTGCGGGTTCAAGCCCACCGCAAGACCTTCTTCATGACTCCCACTGATGACTGCTGTCGTTGTATCATTTGGCAAGACACTTAACCCCACTTTGCCTGAAGCCCCCGCTGAAAGATCTCAGCTCCTGTGGACTCAGCTCCTGCAGGAGGGTCAGTGAGGGGCTGGTGCTCTGACTGCCACCCCCGACCCAGACATGGATTAAGGGGAAGAAGATGAATGGATGGATGTTTGATGTTTGATGTTGATCAAAAAAATAAAATAATCAGACACTTCCCTCTGGTGGTAGAATTTGAGAATGACATTTATTTATTCACTTAACTTTCAAAACGCAATAAAATCATTTTTAATTTAATTTAAATTAGTTTCATTGTATAACCCTGTGAAAAATACCTGGTAAATGTGGCCATACTTGCATGTGAAAAGCCCGACAGATCTCTGAAGCTATGCAGAGCAGGGCCTGATTAATACCGTGATGGGAGACCTCAGGGAACACCAGATTTTACAGTGGGGCAGCTGCGGCTGTAAAAAGGCCAAACTGCAGTTGTGTCTTTAGGCAAGACACTTCCCCCCATTACCTAGAATGAGATTGGTGTGAGTGAATGACGGTGGTGGTCGGAAGGGGCTAATGGCAGATATTGGATGCCTCGCTTATGTCAGTGTGCCCCAGGGCAGCTGTGGCTACAGTAGTTTATTGCAGCTGTTTATGTGAAGTGTCTTTGAAGGTCCGGAAAAGCACTGTATAGAACCAATTCATTATTATTATCATTATTATTAAATCTTTAGGCATTAGTGTTTCTGAATATAGGGATTTCTGTACTTCTAATGCAGGATAAAACAGCTTTTATCACATGCTTCTTTGCAGATTATTAAGTCTAAAACAAGCTCTGAATGTAAAGAAAAAGCTGAAAAAACATGTCTTGAGCTGAATATTTTTTCACAACTTACAGAGGCAATTTGCATAAGCACATAATCTATACATTAGTTCAACATAGACTCCATCCTGTACACTTTTGCATATAAACGAGTCGCTCATTAAGTGACGGCGGCGACTTATAAAACGCGCTTCCACCTCTGCAAGATGGAGGCTTTCGCTTTTATCTTTTTTTTTTTTTTTTTTTGCAGGATTGGCTCTTACATTCTTGCAGCCAATTTGCTTCTTAACGGCGAATTGATTGAAGTGAGAAACAGAGGAAGTTGTAACTGCCGAGGAGGATTATGGAAATGTCATTTATGGACACTTTTCCGCCGCCGCCATACCTCACTCCTCTCGGCTTCATTACCGCCGATAATTACAAAATCACCGCTGCTTCTGATGTGATAAGGTCAGCCCGTTTTCACCAACAGAGAAAGAGAGAAATTCCGCTTATTTATTTATCTACAAAAGCCTGAAACTGGGAATTGGCCGCCTTGTACCTTCTCCACCGCTGCTCTGTAATTAGCTGATGCGTAAAGGAGATGATTTACGCACAATTACATTTCAGTCTTTATTTTAAAATATTGCCAATGATGATGCCGTTAACTTAAACTGCTGGGGTGTCTTGTTGGACTTGCTTCACATGACTGAGTAAGCTGCCCTGTATAATGGAGGAATCCGTTTGGGAGAGGAAATGTTAGCTTAGTGGTCTGCCGTTGGTGTTGTGTGGCTAATGTTATTACAAAATGACACTGGGAACTTAATGTAATGATAATAATACATTTTATTTCTCAAGGTCGCGTCACAGAACAAGTAAAAAGTACATTTAAAGTTAAAATACAAAGTTAAAAACAGCCTGAACAGAGGTGGTGTATTTATGATGAAAGTGTAGGATTTTGAGGAGTGGACTCCCCCAGGGCTGTGTGCTGTCACCTGTGCTCTTCTCTGTGTAGTAAGTAAGTAAGTAATGTTTATTTATATAGCGCATTTTACAGACCAATGGTCACCCAAAGCACTTTACAATGTTCAGATATTGTTCCAATCATTCCACACACGGTAATAACATCTCCTGTGGCACAGAAGGACTGACCCTTATAAAGTACGCAGTAAAGTATAGCTCTGGTGGCACACCTCCCTGATGCACAGGCCCTAGCACGCCTCCCTGATGCACAGGCCCTAGCACACCTCCCTGATGCACAGGCCCTAGCACGCCTCCCTGATGCACAGGCCCTAGCACGCCTCCCTGATGCACAGGCCCTAGCGCACCTCCCTGATGCACAGGCCCTAGCACGCCTCCCTGATGCACAGGCCCTAGCACGCCTCCCTGATGCACAGGCCCTAGCGCACCTCCCTGATGCACAGGCCCTAGCACACCTCCCTGATGCACAGGCCCTAGCACACCTCCCTGATGCACAGGCCCTAGCACGCCTCCCTGATGCACAGGCCCTAGCACGCCTCCCTGATGCACAGGCCCTAGCACGCCTCCCTGATGCACAGGCCCTAGCGCACCTCCCTGATGCACAGGCCCTAGCACACCTCCCTGATGCACAGGCCCTAGCACACCTCCCTGATGAACAGGCCCTAGCACGCCTCCCTGATGCACAGGCCCTAGCACGCCTCCCTGATGCACAGGCCCTAGCACGCCTCCCTGATGCACAGGCCCTAGCGCACCTCCCTGATGCACAGGCCCTAGCACACCTCCCTGATGCACAGGCCCTAGCACACCTCCCTGATGAACAGGCCCTAGCACACTATCAGCAGGAGGTCCACACGCTGGTTTGTGGATTTGCTCAGAACTCCCTGGAGCTCAACATCTCCAAAACCAAGGAGTTATGCTGTGGAGCCGCTAGGATAACAGACTCTGTGGATCTTTTTCCACCCCTAGTCATCCACGGCCAGCAGGTGGAGCAGGTGGAGCAGGTGGAGCAGGTGGAGCTGATATAGATCATATGACAGAAAAATACATGCATGTGAACAATAGTAACGGAACCAAATTGTTTTGAGAGAAAGGAACTAGGCGTATGCCTCTGAACAAGTAGGTTGTAAATGTTTGGTGGGATTCCCTTGAATCCAATAATCAAAAATATGCACAAAACTCCCTTTACTTCCATGTGCTCAACAACACGGTGACAAGTGTGACTCCTGCTTTACACAATCGGTCATTTTAAACACTGCCACATATTGTCAACTTAAGTCAACCGTGGCGCCTAGAGGGTTAATGCCCTGCTCTAAATAGGCAATATCCAGCGCTAGTGACACCTAGAGGCTGATTGGCCACACTACACACTTGAAAGCTTACCCCAGTGTAAGTCCGTTTACATCTTTTGAAGTCTGTGAAGCACTTCTTCCTGAACCAGACTTGGTCCAGTTAAAGTGAAGCAGACCAAGAAGTGACGGGGCAGTGAGCTGTTGTTGCAGGAGGCGGTGATGGCGCCTGGACCCAGATGAGGTGTGAAGCTCTGGCTGGGGCCATGCTGGTATCACCGGAGGAGGGTGGCAGAAAGTCCCCCTCCCCCAAAGACTATGGCATCAGTCATGAAGCCACAGAGAGTAGGGAAACATACAGGTGGATGTGATTCAACATGTGGGCGATGGAGGTGGGACGTGGGCGGACATTTGAAACAGTTTTACAGTGTAGAGTTACATTAGTTTGATGATCTTGCATTGCTGTTTGTTCAAAGCTATACTTCTTTGCTTTAAACATGCTTTGGCTCTATCACTAGCTTCCACATGCATGTATCTTCAACCTCTGTCACAAACACATACATCAACATTCATGGACCTTAGCCTCTCCCTTTGGACCAATATCTATGTGTTTTAACTGTTGATTCTCTGATCTGTGTTGGCGATTCCAACGGTTTAGTTAAGTCCTCTGAGATAACTACTGTTGTTATTTAAGGCTGTACAAGAATAAATTGAGTTGATCCATGAAATCAGCTTTTTCAGACAAAACATTTTATTTATTATCTTAAATATTATTTTAAATTTTTTATCCTGTTTGATGTGTGCAATCCTCATTTATTCTGCTCTAATGTGTGCAACGATGATATTGACTATACTTATATGAATGAATGAATGAATAGTTTTTATTATTGTGTCTTGCATACACACTGTATCCCAAGCCCTTATATTTATACAAGTTTGCAAAAGATTCCATGTTTTCTAGTCAGATAAAGACTTCATGTATTGGGCTGATTTGTCCGCAACATTTTTAAATTATACAAAAAAGTGAAGAATCTCAGCTTTATTCAGGATTAGGATTAGTTTATGAAATGTGTTGTATGAAATAATATGTTTTTGTTTTGTTAGTCCAGCCTAACTATTTTTTACTACATACATTCAAAAGAGCTAAAACTACAAACAGACTTAAACATCTTCGTCTGAAACTGTGGCTGAAATCGTAGCAACGTTGTCCACATGATTAATGAACTGTATATTTAATTACTTTTATATTTGTAAATGTTAAACGTGTGCGTTTGTGTCCTAAAAGCCTTCTATGGACAAGTGTTGAACATTAGCCTGGTCTTGCTAAAACACTAAAGGCAGTGCATCTGGTCTGTCCAATGGAACTGTTGTGTCCAAATCAAATCAACAACAACAAAACAACAAAAATTGGTCTATCCCCGGTGTGTCCAGCAGAGGGCAGCAAAGAATTATCACTGATCTTGGCTTTCGTTGTAGATGCAAATCAGGCAATACTATCATTGACACAATACTTATAATTCATTTATTTTTAATTGGTCTAGTTTAACAAGACGTATTAGACCAGAATTAACCAATATGTTACCAATATGTATATTTATGCTCACATTGAACGCATGTAACACTAGAAAACACATTATCCACAACACTGAGACATGTTGTGAACTTTTTGTTGCTTGATACATACATTTCAGCTTAGGATTTATTTTGTGAAATGGTCAACCTTTTTTGTTTCCTTATTTTCCTAAAGCTAGAGATTGGATACTGCTTCTTTTTCATAAAGTTATAGTGCTTCATTAAGTAAATAAACTTGAACAGAAGCAGTCATTAAAGTGCAGTGTGTGTGTTCAAATAAATACATTCTTTGACAAATGAAAGTTTGAGTGGCAGGTGTGGGAACTGTCGCAGCACTAATGACCGAGGGGCCCAGCGGAGCAAAGGTCGACCTGATTAAGGAAGAAATAATGTGTTAAGTGTTACAGCAGAGGGACACGTCTCTGTGGAATGTACCGGCAACACAGTGCCACAAAGAGAGTTAAAGAAGACATATTATACCCAAATGGACTTCTTTTATGAGCTTTTAACCATGTTGAGCCATCAAAAACAGCCCTCTAGAGGATTATGAGGCCAACCAATTTCAATAATAATAATAATGGGAACTTGCAATAGTATGATGTCATTGCTCATGCAGTTTACAAATGTAAGGCCAAAAAATGCTGTTGTCAATTTTCTGGGTTTAAATCAGTGGGGGCGGGTCCCGGCTCAAAAGTGTCCAAAATGACGTGCGCTGACAGGCTGCAATACCACCCCGGGCCTGTGGGGGTGGACCCGGAATAAGAATTAGCCAATGCTAACATATAGCATCTTCTTACCTCTGGAAAACGTCTTTACAGGATGGTCCAAAAGTTGTCTCTTGGTCCAAAGCTCCGTTCCACATGTGTGTCAATGCTGAGTGTTCTGGACCAGTCTAGTTTAGTCGCTGTGGACGTTAGAAGTCTCTCGTTTAAATGAATGGAGCTCGTGCAGCTGACGCATGCGCAGATGCGATTTTTTTACAATTTTCTTGTGGGCGGGACCACTCGCGGCCATTTTGGATAGCTCCATTAGAGCACAGTTTTTGGCCCATTAGTTAGAACGCCGGGGATAGGCGTGACTCTGTCTGTTAATATTTACAGTCTATGGTTTAAATCAAAGTTCTCTGTTGTGTTTGCAGACGTTAATTTATTAAATTGTTAATCAACTCCTCCCTCTGGTGGTAGCACTGGGAGTTACTGTCAGAAAGATTTATTTATCGTTTATATTTGTTCCACCTTATATTTTTGACCTAAAATATATCGTCACATTCTGAAACGTGAAATTATAAAGCAAATAGTCTGAATATAGTTTTCAATGGCCAAAAACAATACATAATATTTCTTCTTTAATACATCAATATTGTCTTTCTGTTGACATCACCGGAGCCTTCTCACCTGTCCGTCTCAAAGTGCATCTTTATCAACTTTATCAACAGCAGTAAAAAAGTGATTAAGATTGTGATCAGCACCATAGTAACCATAATATTATCATTAACTTTTTATTGGCCCTTATTTTGACTACATGAAGGATAACTTGTCTTATGCAATATTGGATGTCTGCCAAGTAATGATGTCGACTTATGGGAGAGTACCTTTCCACAATGGGTCAAAAACAATGGAATTTAAATGAGTGGCACATAATGATTATTTTCTGTCTGCGTGGACTGGATGCTTTTGTTTTGCATTTGGAGCATTCCAGTTTTGGAGAGTATCCCAGTCCGAGTGGCAGGAGGTTTAAAGACAGAGATATATGTATTTAATCAGGAATATTTTAGCAAACACTGTCAAGTCCATTTCTGCTTATATATTTTATTATTTATTGTTCATCTGGTTGGGACAGTTCATGTTAAAGAACACATCACTCCGGATTGTAGCGTTGGGCATTCGTACTCACAAACACACACTCATTCACCCTGAACTATTGTGCATGTTTTTAATGGTAGGGGAAACCGTAGCACCTGGAGGAAACCTACGCAGACACAAGGAGAACATGCAAACTCCATTCAGAAAGGCCCTGTTCCGACCGGGAATCAAACCCAGAACCTTCTTGCTGAGAGGCGAGAGTGACCTGTCTGAGTGTGTATGTGTTTATGCATTTGTTGTTAAAAAAATTAAGAAATTTGTATTTTTTTATATAAAGAGAGAGATTATTTTGTGTATTTTTGTCAACTTGATCAGTGTTTTTCTCTTTTCATCTGTTACAGTGCCTTGCGAAAGTATTCGCCCCCCTTGAACCTTTCAACATTTCGCCACATTTCAGGCTTCAAACATAAATATATAAAAAAATATTTTTTTTGTCAAGAATCAACAATAAGTGGGACACAATCGTGAAGTGGAACAAAATTTATTGGATGATTTAAACTTTTTTAACAAATAAAAAACTGAAAAGTGGGGCGTGCAATATTATTCGGCCCCTTGCGCTGATACTTTGTAGCGCCACCTTTTGCTGCAATTACAGCTGCAAGTCGCTTGGGGTATGTCTCTATCAGTTTTGCACATCGAGAGACTGGAATTCTTGCCCATTCTTCCTTGCAAAACAGCTGGAGCTCAGTGAGGTTGGATGGAGAGCGTTTGTGAACAGCAGTCTTCAGCTCTTTCCACAGATTCTCGATTGGATTCAGGTCTGGACTTTGACTTGGCCATTCTAACACCTGGATACGTCTATTTGTGAACCATTCCATTGTAGATTTGGCTTTATGTTTTGGATCATTGTCCTGTTGGAAGATAAATCTCCGTCCCAGTCTCAGGTCTTTTGCAGACTCCAACAGGTTTTCTTCCAGAATGGTCCTGTATTTGGCTCCATCCATCTTCCCATCAATTTTAGCCATCTTCCCTGTCCCTGCTGAAGAAAAGCAGGCCCAAAGCATGATGCTGCCACCACCATGTTTGACAGTGGGGATGGTGTGTTCAGGGTGATGAGCTGTGTTGCTTTTACGCCAAACATATCGTTTTGCATTGTGGCCAAAAAGTTTGATTTTGGTTTCATCTGACCAGAGCACCTTCTTCCACATGTTTGGTGTGTCTCCCAGGTGGCTTGTGGAAACTTTAAACCAGACTTTTTATGGATATCTTTGAGAAATGGCTTTCTTCTTGCCACTCTTCCATAAAGGCCAGATTTGTGCAGTGCACGACTGATTGTTGTCCTATGGACAGACTCTCCCACCTCAG